ATTGTTACAAAAAACATGGAAAAATACCGAAACCCCCGCGTTTTAGGTCTTTTACATGGAAAAATTGGAAGTGTCCAATAACTATGACATGCCGTCCAATAACTGTCTCCAGCCGTCCAAGTACTGTGTTTTTCGACCTCTGACTTTGTGACCACGTAAAAGGCGTAAGGGGTTGAATTCTTAGGCAAACTAGAGTGGTAACCTTTAATTCGAACCTTCAACTAGCCCATGAGCCCATAGGTACGTCTCATCTTTAATCGAGAGACGCACAGCGCTGCGTAAAACGAAAGTGTGCGCTTAACCGTCCCATAACTGTATCACCTACCCTAGTAATATTTTGGGTTTTTCGACTTTAATTTTTTTGACAGGTCAATATTTAAGCTAGAGGGCTCAAAATCAAGACAGTTCTTGCCTTTTACGCTACAAAGCTCTACTAAAAATGTCAGGCACCTGGCTCAAACCGTTCTCGAGTTACCGCGATGACAGACAAACAGACAGACACACACACACACATGCAACTTTTTGATCGCTAAGCCAATAACTCTATTCCTTTAGATTATTTGCTCATTGCTCGCGAACTTTTCAGATACGAACAGAACACTCTGTGTCCCCAATATATAGCTTGATCCCGTTACCAGCGTGCACGACAGGGAGGGTGTCGCGTGTCGCGCCACCCACCAGCTTGCAGCTTGTCCATACAGAATTAGTCCAATGGACTCTGGCTACTTTTAAGGAGGCTCCGGGGGTTTACGTGGTTTGGCCAGCTCCGGAGCGCCGTGCGTGCTTTGCAATAGGAACAAGCGAATCATGAAATTCTGACCTCAGAGATAACAAGCTGGGCCCGCTCTTCCGCCAAACCAAGTTGCCAGCTCCGCTTCGCTCCACCGGCAACTCGGTTCGGCAGGGAGCGGGCCCAGCTTGGCCTGCCGGCGGCGTTTGGGACGGGCCTTCGGCCCGTCCCTTCTGAGTTTTTATGGTGTAATACATCTTCTATCCGAAAACGGGCCTTCGGCCCGTTTGAGTGACGGCTCGCTTCGAACCATCTTTTTGCCAGGTACCTTTTCTGTCTACTTCGTAAGTAAAACTCAACAAACGAAGTGTTCTTTTCATACGCTGAACATCTTTGGCTGTGTGTGCCGCAGTTTGTAGAATACATGCAAGTTATGCCGAAATTTTAAGTTATTGATGTTAGCTTATGAATCCAATAACACACATATGAAAATGTACATAAGACTAGACCTAGAAGTTAAATATACTTCCAGGCATACTCTGAATGACACCGAACGTGTTCAAACAACAAAAAACTAAATGTGTTTTTTTGTTTTTTTGCATGAAAGTGTACACGTTTTATTAATGATGTGCCACCATAAAATAAGCCCACTCTTTTGCTTAGAAGAAAATTTTGAACCGGCCGCATACTTCTCAGACAGAAGTGTACTTCTGAAAAAATAAAAATATTTCTGTTTTGGCCATTTTGGTGAGAGAAACTCCCTCTATCGCCTAAACGGTGAGAGATAGAGCTAAACGGACGAAATTTTAACCCACAGGGCTCTATTTGCACAAGTTACCCCCTAGGAAACCATCAAATATTTTCTAAACTTAATATATTGTTTCGGGGTCACTTTTGTCAGAAAAACTCTCTCTAGCGCCTAAACGGTGAGAGATAGAGCCAAACGGACGAAATTTTAGCCCGAAGGGCTCTACTTTCCCAAGTTACCCCTTAGGAAACTATCAAATATTTTCTAAGCTTGATATATTGTTTTTGGGCCACTTTTGTCAGAAAAACTCCCTCTAGCGCCTAAACGGTGAGAGATAGAGCCAAACGGACGAAATTTT